GGCATCAGACCACTGCATCCAGCTGACACCTCATAGCAGGTGCAAATAAGCTGTATTAGGCCAAAATAGTCAGTTTTCTACTGTTTGCAAAAAAATTTCATGGCAGTTGCCAAAGCTACGAGTGGTCATTATCTCACTTAAATGTTTTGTCCAGAATGGGGTGGGTCTAGGAACTCAGTGACCTGAAAAATTGCCTTCTATGACACTTCTCTAATAATTAACATAGGTGCACTTGGGAAAAAATCTCTGAAAAATAATAGCCTTTTAAAGTAATTCTTGTTTGTGCATCAGGACAGAGGTTTAGGTTTGGCCTCTAGCTGTCGTTTATGGTATGTCTGTTTCTCTACGTATACAGTTAAAAACACACATGCATATACATGCCTACACACATGCATGCACACATTTTTGCAGACTCGTATGTGAATGGCTGCAGTCTAAGTTCGCCTATCTGTAAACTACATTGGAACTATTAGCAAACCATTATGTGTTTCATTGATTCACCAGCATTCATGATGCATCTCAAATGTCTGATACTGGACTGAGCAGCAGAAATACCAGTAAGATTAGTAAAACACAGGTTCTCAGGTAGACCAGGGTGTTGTTTGGAGATAGACATGTTAATAGAGTAAACTCAATGTAAGTTATATAACAATTTGAATTGGGTATATGTAAAATATATATATATATATATATCAAATAACAATGGCTTAGACACATAAAGGATTTATTCTCTCACAAAAAAAGATGTAATCAGTCCAAGTGTGGTTCAGAAACCAGGATCTTTCTCTCTTTCTGCTCTGCCGTTCTGAGTGCAAGGCTTCCATTCTCAAGATTGGCCCATTTCCAAGATGGCTAATGGAGCCGGTAGGAAGGTAGGAAAGCAGAGAGCAGAAGAAGCATTCTCCAGCTAAGTCAACTTCTTTTAGGTAGCCTTCCTGGAAGCCTCAACACAACACTTCCACTTTTATTTCACTAATTATGATTTGGTCTCATGACCAATGAGAAATGCATTCTTTTAACTACGTGTAATGCTAACCCAGATAAAATTGGGGTCCAGTACAAGAAAAGTAAGAGAAGATGGATATTGGATGACAACCAGCAATCTCTGCCACATAGAGGTATGAACAAAAGGCTATAGAAACATACAGCAATAAGGGAGTTACTTCTGGAATCTGGACAGTCTTTCTTGAGGAGGCACTTAATTTGGGCTTTGAAGGATAAATAGGAGTCTGCCAAATAAAGAATAGGCAAAGAGCATTCCAGGCAAAAAATAATAGCATGTGTACAGAGGGCCAATTAAGCCTATTTTTGTATTTCTATTTATTTTTATCTCTGCTATTAATAGTAGGTCTTAACAATTAAGTTTTTTGTTGTTGTTTTGTTTTGTTTTGTTTTGCCAGGCTGGAGTGCAGTGGCACAATCTTGGCTCACTGCAACCTCCACCTTCTGGGTTCAAGAGATTCTCCTGCCTCAGGCTCCAAAGTAGCTCAGACTACAGGCATGTGCCACCATGCCCAGCTAATTTTTGTATTTTTAGTAGAGACAGGGTTTTACCATGTTGGCCAGGATGGTCCCCATCTCTTGACCTCGTGATCTGCCCACCTCAGCCTCCCAAAGTGCTGAGATTACAGGCGTGAGCCACTGCATCTGGCCTAATTTTTAATTAATCTAACAGTTACTCAAGATCAACAGATTAAGATATGTCAAGTATGATTAACCTGATATCCCTGCAAACGATTTCCACTTGGACCAAAATAAGAACATTTTATCTGATATAAAGTATTCCACATTCTAAAAATAATTGAGTTAGAAGATTTTGGCATCTTGAAAAGGAATCGATATAGAGAAAAGGAAGAAAAAAACAATTTTTTTTCATTTCATTTTTCAGGGAGATGTTTGTCTTTTAAATTTTTCATTTGCAGGGAGATGTTTGTCTTTTAAATCCTGAAGCTAAACAAAGCCCATTTAGAACTGATTTGGTTCATATCCCGGGGTCCATGAACCCACACTGAGAGCGCTAAGTCAGGCATCTAGCCAAGTTAGTCTTAAAGTATGTCACCTCCTATTTAGCTATTCCTAATATATCTGTTACTTTGGATCTGTGAAGCTGAATTGTTCTTTTCTTAAATGGTTTTGGAACCATAAGAAATCTTTAGGATTAGAGAGAGATTTTCATGATTATCTCCTTTGGCTCCATTAGAGGCATCAGAGTCCATTAAAAATTTTCTGGAGAAACTTAAATCCTTTGAGAAACCTGAAATTCTTGTAGTTTAAGGAGTAAATCCAGTTAGATCTGGGATGCCTGAGAGTGGAAATTCCTGTGCCCACTGCCCGTGCTGTCCTTCTACGTCGCCAAGGATCTTGTCAGATTAAATCCTCTTCAATCCCAACAACCCCAACCACAGTAGAGTTCTGACAATGCTTTGAATGCTACCTCAGTTAAAACTGCCATGCTTTCTCAAAGGATTCAGTCCCTCGAGGGCAAGTAGATTATCCATTTTCTGATTTTTTTTTTTTTTGGGCCAACTTTGATTTTTGCTTCCTCTCCCATTAGTTGGTATCCAGACATTCCTAAAGGATGTGGTGAGCCTTATGCAACACCTCCCTTCCATTGTTCATTCTGACTCTTCATTCACATCTCAGCTCTAAAAAGTCTCTTCCTCAGGAAAATCTTCTCTTGCCTGCCTAACCAAATTAAATTCTCCATATATTATGCTCTCAGGGTGCCATGTATCTGTGTTTTATAGCTTTTATCATAATTATCATTTTACATTTATTGCATGAGATGATTTGAGCACTATCTCCCTCTGCCAGTAGACTGGAAAGTCTCTCGAGAGTGGACCCATAGATGCTGAAATTCGCTATTGAATTTTACTCCTAGCACAGTGCCTGGCCCATAGCAAGTTCTCAATAAATGTTGCTTAAACAATTAAATGAATTCTTTTTATAAAGTACTTCTGTAATCCCATTTCACACAGTGTTCAGAATATGGGTGAATACAGAATTGATCAGCTCATGGGCGGGCCCATCTACAGATATGAATGTTGAAAATAATTTTACCACAGTTACTTAGAAGTACCAAAGTCCTAGCCAGCACATGCTTGACACCGCAGGGATGAAACTTGGTTGCATCCTGCAGTGGCCTCACGGCAGCCTCTGAATAGATTGAGATGAACTGCTCCTCGGCTACAGTGAACACGTAGGGATAGAGCCCATCTGCCTTTGCCCCTCACTTTAGAACTCAGCACCATGTTTTGCTGACATCTTTGCACATTAAAAAAAAAAAAAGAACAGTTATTGAAGGAGTTGTTGCTTTTCATCTGTTTTTAAAAGATGTTCATTTGTTGTTAATGAAAAAATACACATTACCACATTTTAAAAATAGAGTGCATATCTAACACAATGTTAAATAATTATATTTTTGAACCTTTGCCTAAGCTTGTGTTTGCAATTATTAATAAAAGGAATAAAAAAGAAAAGCAAGCTTCAAGGCTCTGTTCATATTAACAACCAGATTTTTGAAAGGCAGGACGAACTGTGGGGACTTTGTGAAGAGAAGACCTAAGTCACTTCAGTTGTCACTACCATTCTCATTTTATTTTGTCAGAGAGAGTAATCGAAAGAGTTTGGGAGTGGAATAAATCTTTCCGTATTTGATCTAACCAGAACTATAAGCCATACAACCAGGCATAGTTTGGATTTGAATTTCTAAAACTAAGATATTGGAAAACAAAGAGTAAAGACACAAATGGCATTGCCCACATGCTCTATAAAAGCCTGTGATGTTGTTAAGCCTGATTTGGACTTGGCATAAAGGTTTCGCTAGAAGTCTTTAGCATTTGGCTGCTTATTAGCTAAGTGACCTTGGGTAAGATTCATGGCCTCAACTATAAAACGGGGATATCTTTCTTGCATGGCTGTTTTGAGAATGAATGAGATATTTGTACTGTGCCTGGTACAGGACAGGATAAGGCAAATGACAGGGTCTTAGTAGTGTGTATCTCTGCTGCCCTTCACGCAACCCTCCTCTTCCTCACTAAGATACATACACTAAATGTGTATCTGTTTGCTGATTCTCTTCTCCTTTTTAAGCTGGAGTGCTAGCTAGAAAAGGAAGAATTTTTTTTTTTTTTTTAAAGACAAAATCTTGATCTGTTGCCAGGAGCCAGCTGGAGTGCAGTGGCACAATCTATCTTGGCTCACTGCAACCTCTGCCTCCCGTGTTACAAGCAATTCTCCTGCCTCAGCCTCCCGAGTAGCTGGGACCACAGGTGCACACCACCACGCCCAGCTAATTTTTGTATTTTTTAGTAGAGATAGGGTTTCCACCATGGTCTCGATCTCTTGACCTCGTGATCCACCCGCCTCGGCCTCCCAAAGTGCTGAGATTACAGGGGTGAGCCACCGTGCCCAGCCTAAGGAAGTATTTTTATTATCACTCAGCAAATATTTTTTGAGGGCCTCCGATTGACCAAGCACTGTTATCATTGTGTGGAATACATTAATTACCTCAACATGCAAATCACCCACGCTTATGCAGCTTATATTCTAAGGAATCATGTGGAACATGGAGATTATTTATAAAATGTTTCCTGCTACTGTTACCTCTTGGTTGTAGTTTTTGTCATTTGGGTGAATCATAATTACCGACACAGGAGTTACTCTTGAATTAAGGCCCTAAAACATCAGTAATTCAGGATCTTCTCGTCTCTCTTACTTTCTCCCATCATTCCGTACCCTGCTCCCTATTCTCTCTCATTCTCTGTCTTTTCCCCTTCTTTCTGTTTGTGTATCTAAACTTTAAAAACATCTTCACCTATGCTACCTTTTTTTCTTTCTTAGCTTGATTCAAATTCCAGTTGAATTCAGTCCCCTCCATAGGAAGTATGTTTTAGGCCCCTCAGGGATGAAGGGAGGGTAATTTCGTGGTGATTGGCTTCATAATGGATTCTGCCATTGGTAGGTGCTTGGCTGAATTACACGTCTCTCTTTCTTGTTAGATTGTTGGCTGTGATCACCAGCTGGGGAGCACCATCAAGGAAGATAACTGTGGGGTCTGCAACGGAGATGGGTCCACCTGCCGGCTGGTCCGAGGGCAGTATAAATCCCAGCTCTCCGCAACCAAATGTAAGATACACAGAGATGGGGTGACCTTTGGAGTTGTTGACTTGTTGACTTGTTATCCTCCCCTGGTTTACGTCTGGCCCCACTAAACAGCCAGGGAACAACACCTCCACCAAAATGATGAGGAACCTGGAAATGTAGAAGGCGTTCATGCTCTGGCATGTGAAATAGCTTAGGTGGGACAAGTCAGGTCACCAGGGGCAGTCCCAAAGAGAATACCTATCCTTCTGAGGCACATCAGGAGTGAACCAAACTTGGGGCTACAGATATTCTCTGTGCAAACATGAGCCTTTCTGTCCAACATGAGGACAGACTGTATCCCAGCTCCTGCATGATGTATAGTGTGTTATTCCTGGTGGAAGATAGCAGGGAGAGTAGGAAGATCAGCACAAATTTACTCCTGTCACTGTGAAATCACATGGTCTTCATTTACAAAGTGGCCTTTGGTCAGTGCTAAAACAACTTCTTTCAGAATTAATATAGGACAGTGATTACATGAAGTCTTGGTTTTTTGGTTTTTGGGTTTTGGGTTTTTTTTGAGTCTCATGCCCTCCCCAAGACTGGAGTGCAGTGGCGTGATCTCAGCTCACTACAACCTCCACCTCCACCTCCCAGGTTCAAGCGATTTTTCTGCCTTAACCTTGCAAGTAGCTGGGATCACAGGTGCATGCCACCACGCCCAGCTAATTTTTGTATTTTTGGTAGAGACAGGGTTTCATTGTGGCCAGGCTGGTCTTGAACTCCTGACCTCAAGTAATCCACCTGCATCAGCCTCCCAAAGTGCTGGTATTACAGGTATGAGCTACTGTGCTGAGCCTATGTGAAGTTTTTTATTGACCTTTGTGTCCTGATATCTTAATACTAGAAAAAAAAAAGTGTGATAATTATACATGTACTTGCTGAGAACTTCACACAATCATCTCATGTAATTGTTATGACAACCTCATGAGCAAAGTACTATTAATCCCCACATTATGAATGAGATAACTAAAGCTTAGCCAGATTATGGGGTTTGTACAGAGTCACACAGTTGTAACAAAGCCAAGGTTTGAGCTCCGAGTCTGGTTCCAGAGCCTAAGCACTTACTTGTTCCTCTGGACTGGTCACAGCCCTGCTGATAGTCTCCATGGTGGCACATCTTTAAGGCAAATAGATGGATCTAGGGAAGGTGCCTCAGATGTCTACCCAGTCAGATCCTGAGAGGATAGGTGGTACAAGTCCTCATAGTCCCTAAGCCAACAAAGGAGTCATTAATCTAAGGCATTTTATGATACACAGTCCTCTGTGACAATCACTGTCCTGGGCACTGCAGCAGATACAGATAGAAATTAGACAGCCCTTATATTAAAGGACATGCATTTTTAGAATCATTTTGACCTTGCATGGCATATTGTCTCCAGATTTTGCTACTATGCAGAATCCTTCAATAGATCCCGGATTGAGTATTTCTTTCCACCTGTTTCTCTGGCTTGGGAAATGATAATTAATATCTTTACTGAGTGTGTTTTGTTATCTTTACTTGTTGACTAGCTGGAGGAAAACAAGTGACGTATGGGGAGTTTGGGGCTTTAAATGGACTTACAGGTCAAGAAGAAAGGCAGCTGCAGTTGTTGTGGTATACAGTAGAGAAATATTCTCAGAAATCCTCAAAATCAGCTTGCCAAAGGATTAGGCTTGAGGTAAAAAGAGGGAGTAGAAAGAAAGAGTGGGGACTTCTAAACACATGAAAAATTGGAGATACCAGTTTGGGGAACTCTCCACATTCTAGCTCCCTTGGAAGCAATGAAAAATGTAATTCTGCAATAAATAAATAAATAAATAAGAAAATTTAAAATATTCTGGCAGATAGAATGAAGAATGAGGTAACTTAGACATTGATATAATCCATTCAGGCGAACATTTTTTTTTTTGGTCTTGTATGTTGGTAGCTTCTTCTATAAGTGAAAAATTTCTAAAGTTAGAAGATGGAAACCAGAAATGGATAGAGTCATAGTTCTTTTATAAATTATGGTTGGATATTAGAAAAGAGTTACATTTAGAAGATCATTCTTAAGAACTCTTCAAGGAATGCTAGAAGAGTTAAAATCTCTCTATTTCTGTTATGTAACTGAATCAGTGTCATTATCTAGGAATCTAGGAATTATTGTTAGATACGAAAGAGAATGTCATGCATGCGTGCAGCAATGGCTGTATAGTGTTCTGGGAGCATGTTTTTAATGGTAAAGATCCTTTTTTATTCTCATGCCTATACCTTCCTGTTGTCAGAGAGGAGCTAGACTACCCTGCTCAGATAAACATTCCCCTTACCCTACTGTTACGGAGGGATGGGTGACCCCTGGGGCCTGAATCACAAAACAAAGATGGAGAAGCTCCAAAGGAACAAACTGAAGCAAATTGAGAGCCCTGTGTCATCTCCAGGTCTGCAAATAAGTACCGCAATGAAAAGTGCCCTGTTCAAGACCGCCAGTGGGTAAATTATATCATACACAACCTGATGATGATACATAATGACAAAATGCAATTGATTCATTTACCTTAGCACTGATGATGCCTCATGACAGAATGATTGATATCAATAAAGCCCAGCGTATGCATGCAACTCACCACAATCTATAGCAGATGCGGAGCAAACTGCCTCGCTTATGTTTTCTCCACCCTAGAAGAATCATTCATCCTGTGCTTACAGACTGTGAGGTGACCCACTGGCAGGGAAGATTAGGCTGCTCTGCAGGGCCCAGCAGAGTGGCCAGGTGAGCAGTTCTCCACCCTGGAGGAGTCCTGCCAGATCTCTCCCCTGTCTTCTGCCAAAAGGCACCGTCAGTTCGCCACATGCTCTCTTTGAACTTCTGGCACTCAGATTCCCCACATTGAACTCATTTTCTTTCTGAGCTTATATCCAAGTTTTTTTTCCCCCTGCATGTTATCAAGCCTCAGAGGAACAAAGCAAAAACAGGAGAGTGGAGAAAGACCATGATAGAAAGTGCCAGAAGGATAAAGAGAAGTAGAAGTTTATCCAATGGCTGCCATTTGCTGGTGAATTTGTAAAAATCATCTTTTTATTAAAAGACATTATAATTGCCATTATTAAAAGGCATTATAAAATTGTCTTTTAATAAAAAGACATATAAAGTTTCCATTGTAATTGCCTAATACAAATACAGACAGTGAAAACAGAGCAAGATTTCCTTTACAAAAGTACTCTTTCTCCTTCTGTAAAGGGAAAGACTGCCCACTGGGAGCACTCACCATTTTCATTTTTCCTGGTAACTTCTCAGCTCCCCTAGCCCAACAAAAATAGTCAAATAGAGCTGACATTACCTTGCCTCTGATTCTTCAAATTTAAAGGCTCATTTTCTCACAAGATTTATTGACTTACACTCTATTATGTATTTTCCAAGTATAAAGAATATTCTTAGAGTGAGAGCCAGCCTATTTGCTATTAATTTAACATTTGCAGCTTTGCAGAGCTCTCATCTGTATCTGTATGCTTTGAAATCACCTGGAGATCCTAAAGCGCTCTCTCTCTCTACCTTCCTTGCATGGGGAGGCCACTTAACTAATTTATGTCAAGATAAAATTAAGCTTTTAATACTTAAGAATGTGGCTTCTCAGACTGTGGCTTATGCTGGTGTATAATGGCTATGGGTATACATGTCCTTGGACTATCATTCTAGCTCAAAGATTTTAAGGTAAAGTATGCTTATAATAAAACACAGGCCACTATGTTATGAAGTGCAAAATACATATGGATTTTTTAAAGAAAGCGCAAAGCATTAAAGAAATTTCCACTTACCTTGGCTGCTTCAGACTATCCTCACAAGCCACTCAAGGATATATTCATTCAACGGCACATGTTTAATGGGCACCTGCTATGTGCTGAGGAACTGTTCTAGGTGCTGGAAATGCAGCACAGAACAAAACAGACAAAATCCATTTATCTTCATGGGACTTACATGCTAGCATGAGAGACAGACAAATAACTAAATAAAATGTATGTACGTCATGTGGTGATATGAGCCATGGAAAATTAAGCAGAGCAGGAGAAGAACAGGAAATGGGTGTAGGCTGCCAGCCAACAGTGATGCAGGGAAGTTGCAATTTTCAGTAAGTTAGTAAGGAGAGGACTCACTGATAACATGGCATTTGAACAAGGATCTGAGGGAAGTGAAAAGAGGTCACCATGCCAAAGTCAGGGAAGAGAAAATTCTAGGAAAGGAGAAAAGCAAGTGCAAACATCCTATGGTATTTGCATTCGAGATATATTTCAGGAAGAACAAAGAAGCCAGTGTGACTAAAATGAGGTGAGTCTCAAAAAGGCTAGAGAAAATGATGCGAGGCAGAGGGAAGAATGGTGCAGATATTGTGGGCTTTTGTAAGTCTGAATGAAATGGGAAGTCGTTGGAGGATTTTGAACAGAGGAATGATTTGATCAGATTTCTGCTATACTGAGAATAGACTAGTGGGGCCAGCTGTAGAAGTGGGAGCTGTACTTGGAAAGATATTACACTAAGCCAGGCCACAGGTGATGATGGCTTGGACTGGACCAGTAGTTATGGCAATGGTGAGAAGTGACCCAAATCTAGATATACTGCACCCCTCCCTCCCTCCCTTCTTTCCTTCCTTCCTTCCTCCCTCCCTCCCTCCTTCCCTCCCTCTTTCTTTCTTTCTCTCTCCCTCCCTCCCTCCCTCCCTCTCTCTCTCTCTCTCTCTCTTTCTTTCTTTCATCTCTCTCTCTCTTTCTTGAAACAGGCTCTCACTCTGGGTCTCACTCTGTCACTCAGGCTGCAGTGCCATGATACAATCACAGCTCAGCTCATTGCAGCCTTGACCTCCTGGGCTTCAGCCTCCTCCCACTTCAGCCTCCCCAGGCAGCTGGGATTTTACAGGCACATACCACCAGCTCTGGCTAATTTTTGTATTTTTAATAGAGACAGGGTTTCACCATGTTGGCCAGGCTGGTCTCAAACTCCTGGCCTCAAGTAATCTGCCCACCTCAGCCTCCC